ATAGTTTCAAAATTAACATCATTTATTCATCAAATTTACATCTCTCATGAATATAGATAAATATTTTCCTATTACACTGCTTGAAGGGTAAATCTCAGGGTCTTTAAACTCTTTGAGGGCTATTATACACAGCTTCTTTATATATAAATGATTTAAAGTTATATGTTATTAAAGCTAAATTCTCCCATTTTAAGCTTTTGGGGAAAAAAGGCTAGTCGTATTCTAATTCTGGCTTTTCCTGATTGTGGAAATTCATCTTTTTGGACCTCAGCTACATCATTTCTTGAGTAAGGTGGGTTGGTTTGGTGAATGCAGGCCTTTCACATTGGATTTGGGCAGTGTTGGATGCTGTGCTCACTGGCTCTATGAAACCCAGAGAACTCCCAGGTCATTGTCTATTAAGGAGGGCCCAGGTATTATGCATATTACCCCATGTCTTTAGGTCTTCAGCTGGTGCAGGGCCCTCATTTCCTCCCTTTGCTTACAAAATCATATTTATTATAATTGCTCATGCAACAGAATAGTATTTTACCACTGTGCCACCCCAGGGGGAAATCTCAGTTTATAATAACTACAATAGTAGGTATTATACTAACCATAGTCCCCTCTCACTATTGGTCCTTCCATATCCACAACACTGCTTCCTCCTTACCACCTACATTGTTGAATGTCCTGGCACTCACTCTCTCATGAAACACATGCAAGAGGGGTAGTTCACATGACCCTTTATTAAGATAGGGACCAAGAAGTTTTGGGACTTAGATGGTTCACCCCTGCTGGATGGCCAACAGATGATGTGCTGGTCACTACAAAAGGGAAATTCTTATTGGTCATAAGCAGTAAGAGACACTAAGAGCTATAAGACACTGTCTTATAGCTAAGACAGATCTTAGCTATAGATCATTGTATTCTGGTCCCTTGATTAGAAACATGTGGGGTGGGCAAGGATACAGCTGGGCATCAGACACAGTTACAATCAAGGACTCGAGCATATTCAAGGCTCTCTTTCCTTTTCTATTAACTGCACTGTCTATGCAGACCAGCTTCCTTCACACAATGGGAGACATGGTGGGTACCAAACTTACATTTAACAAATTCCAGCATTTGGGAGAGGCCAACTCTTCATCAGTGCCTGTTTGAAAAATCCTAAGGAAAAACTGTGATAGGTCCACTTCAAGCCTGGAGCAATTAACTGTGGCCTGGGGATGGGGTTAGGTAGGAAAATGGCTCATCCTGAGGTGGTCCTGTCCTTGGGTGAGGCAGAACATTTCCACAATAAGGGGAGAAAAGACACTGCTCAGATGGTTCCACGGGTGTCCACTGTACAAATAGACAAGAGTGGATGTAGTTACAGATGTCATGTTTTAACTGAATCAATCAAAATTTAAAATTTGGAAAATCTAACTCTGATCATTAGTTCCAAAATTTTATCTCTTCCATTTCCTTATTCACTTTACATTTATTATTCATTCTCCTCAAGGCCTCCTCTATGACTTTACAGGGGCTCTGTCTCTCCTAGCATGCAGCCTGAACTATATGACATGTACAGAGTTGAGTCTTGCACCATCTATTCTGTCTACTGTTCATAGCTTTTCTCTCCCTAATGGTTAGGTTCCCTCTTCCACTGGTTGATCTAGGTCCAGTGGGTCCAACATGGCCCTGGGGCCCTAAACACCTGTGTGCAGCTCTCCTGTGAGGTCTGCTCCCTGGCCTTTGTGGCAGTATGCAGCTGCCTCCAGCACTCAGTCCACGCCTCAGCATCTCTGTGTCTCACTTGCTCCTGATTTACTTTCTTTACCCTCAGTGATCTCATCCTTCATACCAAGTATGAAATTCCCTGGGGTTGGTTTTCTTCACTTACCACTTCTATGACCTGCCTGAATCCATTTTCTCTCCTCTGGCTCCTATTGGCACATATTGTTGGAAAATAATGCAGAGAGTTACAAAATTGAAAATATATGGTATCAAAATTCTGTGAGTGTTTCCATGGTGCTTCACAATCAAGTTGCTTCTCTTCCTCACTGCTGCAGCAGCTGAAAAATGTTTATCATAGATTCTAAACTATATGTTATACAACTCTAGTTCCTCAGCACAGAGTAAGAAAGCAATACCAAATTTATTGATTCCGTGAATGAATTATTATTGACTGAAAAGATGAATTTTTTTCATGGGGGAATAAGAATTGAAATGTAAATTGGAATGTTGTCTATGTCTATATCTATATCTGTATCTATATCTATAACTCTTGAGTTCTGTTAGGCACCTAGATCTTTATGTAAATATTCTTTTCTGTATAAATTTTTAAAATATTCCAAAAATAAGGAGTCTACCTAACCTCTAAATAAATTAAATAAATTCATTAAGGATAAATCATGGCAGCCCATCCTAACATTTTTGTTAAGTAGAATCTTAACTTCAATATTAAGTTGGTCTCACTGAAAAAGCAAGAATCATCACCAAGGCTATTGATATCTTTTTAACAAACTATACGGTGCAAAATCACAATATAATCTGATGAAATTAAGATAAAAATGAGGCATGTAATACATTACTCACACCAGTTAATAAATACATGTTATGGGACATCTAAATATAATTATCTACCAGAAATCTTATCAACTATAACCTATCAAATGGTTCAGCAAATTTGAGGTGTTTACTGAATGGTGGTAGTGTTCACCAGGGTTTGGGGGAGGGGGAGATACACATCTTAGGGTTGTGGGAGCATTGAGGGGGGGGGAAGGGAATACCTCTAACCCCTCGTAGGGAAAGGCAAAGATATACAATGTAACCAAAAGGTCAAAAAAGGAAAAAAAAAACTTTTATCAGGTGGTGGGTAGATGGGAGGGAGGAGGAGCATTACAAAATAGGTGCAATGCGTACCACCCAGGGGTTGCACATGCTTGATGTTTTGGCAAGGCAGGGGACGGGGAAAGGAATGGCAGGGACAATATATGTAACCCTAACAATATTTGTATCCCCATAATATGATAAAATAAAAGGGGAAAAAAAGAATGGTTATAAAGCTGATCAGGAGAGATTTCAAATAAGATAAGTTTATACTTTAATTTGGGTTAAGGTAGAATTTATTTTTTTTAGAGGTGTTCCTTTGTGAAAATAGTAAAGGACCTTTGGGGTGAGTGGCTGGCATTATATTAATGAAATTTAAAATAATATAAAAGGAAAATGATATGCAGCATATGTAACCATACTTATTCATAAAATAACTCTATTCTTGGGAATGTGAATATAATAGTCTGCTCTGTGGACATTGTGTACCAAGAGGACCTCCTTACCCACAGTTTCATTCAATTATTCTATACATCACCCCAATCTTTTGCCCACGGTTCACTGGGCCAGAATGAACACCTCAGCCTGCTGTGCGTGGACTTCAGGAGCAGCAGAGGCCTCTAGGTTGAAGAATGAGGCAACTTCCCAACAGGAACAGAAATGTCAAAGCATGTTCTTCAGGCATGGTAGCATCCTTGCCCTTGAGTATGGCACCTGGATCCCTATAGTAAATCTCTCCTTTCTGTTTAAATTTAGTAGATACTCCATGTTGCTGAGGATGTGGTGAGATAAATTTGTACACAGTTTATGGTATTGTAAATTGTTACATGTCTTCTGGAAAATATTTGGCAACATGTATTTAGAATATTAAAAATGTTCATCTCTGTATACTCAGTTGTGGCACTTCGATGAGTGTGAGGACTTTATCAGATTCATGTACTTGAATGTTCATTTCAGTGTAATTTATCATACCAAAAAGAATCAGAAAAGATCTCAATGTTCCAATTTGGTGACTAGTGTGTTTGTATTTTGCAATATTATGCAAATATTAAAAGGTTTTAGAAAAATATTTAATGGGGTAGAAAACTACTATGCTATGACATTAAGTGAAAAATATGTACACAAATTACTATACACATTATGGCTTCATTGTTATGATTTATACATGTATGTGTATATAACGAATAAAAAAGGTAGAAAAAAATGCATCCAAATGTTAAAATGATGACTTTTGAGTGGGAGAGCTGAACATGACTTTTATTTTTATGTTTTTCTATATCTTCTAACTTTCCTACAATGACAATGTATATAATCATAACAATTTTATCATTAAAAAATTGAGTAAAATAATGTATTATTTTAGTGTTATAAGGAATAAGTTTTTTTCTTCATTATGTGAAAAAGTTTGGAAAATTCAAAATGGTGTGTTTATTCCCTGCTGTGCAGTACAGCAAAATATTTTTTCTTTATCTTTTCAATGGCAAGATATAAAATCAACCCAAGTGCCCATCAATTCATGAGTGGATTATTAAAATTTGGTATATGTATACAATGGAATGTTACTCAATTATAAGGAATGACAGTGATGTAGCACCTCTTATATTTTGCTGGATAGAGCTTGAGCCCATCCTCCGAAGTGAGGTGACACAAGAATAGAAGAATAGGTTCCACATGTACTCGCCATCAAACTGGCACTAACTGATCAACACTATGGTGCTCACACAGTAGTAATATTCTCCAGGGATTAGGGGGTTGGGGGGAAGGTGAACTCACAACTAATGGACAGGGTGAGCATTGTAGAGGGGAAGGGTATGCCTCTAATCCTTGCTTGGGTAAGGCAAAGTCATAAAATGTAACTGAAATGTTTGTACCCTCATAATATCCTGAAATAAAAATTAAAAAAAAAAGAATTGGTAGTAATACTATTTTAATACTGTTACCCATTTTCCCAAAGTAATGAAATAATATTAAAGAAAAAATGTAACTAACAAAGTCTATAATTCATACTATTTGTCTAGAGTTAAGTTAAAGATGTTTTGGTGTTTAAAATAAAAAAAAAAACAACAAAACAAAAACCACACAAAACCAATAGTATTAAGCTATCAGTTATATCAAAATTTAAATGAAAATATGTTAATTCTTATTCACAATTGTCTTATTTTAAAAATAAATCAGCATCCATTTTAACTAATGCAGATAGAATACATTAGAATAAAATTATTTTAAGGTAAATATAACTTTGACGGATTTTAATTAAGTAACAACAGTTTAGAGATATATACATATATATGTGTAGAATATATACTTTTTTAAAACAGTAAGGCATACTTTATGATATATAATCTTTTTACCACAAACTATATACACTTCTCAGATATGAAATCAAACTAATATGACTAGGAAGACACTACCACTTGGGACGAGAGTGACACCTTTACAAGTAGTTTAACTTTTATATGTGACTTTAGTAACACCGTTATACAAATAAGCCTTTTTACTGGCATTGTTTTGGCAGTGTAAATCTCTAAGACACTGGTTGGATTTCACAAAGGGTTCTGAAAGTTGACAACTACTGCTTGGCAAATCTTTGTATATAAAATGTGTAGTAGCTGGTACAAGTGGGCCACAGTCATTTACAGCGAAACAGGCACAAAAGCTTTACTGTCCTTTGACTACTGGGCAGAACAATCTTGAACTCTGACCTCCTGTTGCTCCTCTAAAGGCTTAACATATTCTAAAACCTTTTATGCGGAAATCAAAAATAACAGGCCAAGAGCAGACTAGGGGATTGCATTTTTGTCAGTAAAAATTCCCAAACCAATACATTCATCCAGTTTCTGACATTGTTCTTCGAGCAGCCATCAGCTATCTAATGCAAAATGTGGCAAAATGTGGCTTTACTTAATTTTGTTGCAAAGAGAAACTAAAGCTTTTGTTCAGAGCTTTAGAAAAGTTGGTTCAGTCCGTGTAATCCATTTTCTTCTTGATTCTGAAAAGTAGCTACTGCTCATTGGGTAGCGAAGCGCTGTGGAGGAATGTTTCTCTTGCTCCTTCTTTCACAAGATGACTTCACAGACAGGTTTCAAACATGTCATTCGACTTCAAAACATGGCGCAGGTTTCCTGGTGGATGAGTTTACATTGTCCGAGGGGCGGTAGGAAAGCGTGCTCATTTTTGTTGAAAGGCCTGAGTGGGATTTGGCTTTTGGGGGGATATATTTTAAAAGCTGGAGAAAATATTTTTTAAATTTTTTTCCCAGAAAGCCATAAAAAAGAGGATTCAGGCAATTGTTAAAATAAGCTATGCAAATGGTGATGGGCATGGCAGTGTCCACAATATCTGCAATTTTACAGTCATGTATGATGCCCAGCTGAATCAACACATCCAGAAAAGTGAATATTTGGTGGGGAACCCAGGAAAAGAAAAAGAAAAGCACAATTGCCATAATTATCTTAAAAATATCATCATTTCTTGGCTTGTTCTTCTGAATTTCATAAGCTTTCTTTAGGGCCTTCCAAATAAGAGTATAACTTGTAAGAATGATCAGAAAAGGAAACAGGAAACCCAGAATATTTTTGGTTAAGCCCAACCCTATAGGGAGGGTTGAATTTTGGGACTCATAATGGAAAGCACAAACTGTAATATTGGTGTTCTCGATGAAAAATACATTTCGGTGGATTATAGCTGGCAAACTAGCCAAGCCAGCCAGTAGCCAAATAATGATGCAGGTGACTTTGGCTACAAGCATTGTGCGTCGAAGGCGGGACTTCATTGGATGAACAATAGCCAGGTAGCGATCGATGCTGAGACACGTGAGTAGAAACACACTGGCATAGAGGTTGAAACTGACACTGGCTGAAGCAATCTTACATAGGTAATTACCAAAGGGCCAGCGATATCCCATAGCAGTGTAGACAGCCCAGAGTGGCAAAGTCAGTAGAAAGCATATATCAGCCAGTGCTAAATTCAAAAGAAAAACACTGGCCACCGTCTTCAGTTTCATGTAAAAGTAAATGACTATCACCACCAAGCTGTTTCCAAATATTCCCACCACAAAGATGATACTGTATAAAGTAGGAATCATGACAAATATGTAATTGTGCCTTCCAGCTTTGGGACAGTCATCTTGGATTCTTTTAATACCATCTTCGGTAGAAGAGTTGAGAATCATTTTGATCTCCTGGGTTGAATTTATCTCAGACACTATACCAAATGCACCTGGAAAAAATAAAAGTAAAAAGGGGGAAAAAGTTTTAAACTTCCAGTTGTAAACAATAAGCTTCATTTCTCAATTATAAATCCAGTAACACAACTTCTGCCTTAGGAAAAAACATTGGATCGTATTTTCTAGAGAAACACTGTTAACTGCTAAAGTCTAAGATTGTACATTTAATTTTTAGAACATACTGCTTTTGTAGAAAGTGATGAGTATCTTCCAGAGAAATGGAAGTGAGGTCCTATTTGAATAAATTTATCTAGGTTTTTTTCATTTTTTAAATAAGTAAATCCTAGCTTCCAAATTGACTGAAAACATAACCTGAATCTTAGAAAACACTACTGAATTAGTCATTCAGAAAGACTTGAAAGTTTTTCCTGAAGTAAGCAAAGCTAATTAATTTATCTTTAAACTCAGAAGTGTGACACATCTGTACCTTATTCTTTAAGCAGTTTCTTTCAGCTCACAATCTTTACTTAGGTATAAAAATTGTTAGCATCCTAATAATTTCTTCTTTAAGTGGTCAGAAGAGCTGCCTTAAGGTCACTGAGGAATTGGTCATCGTGGGAAATGATTTAAGAGGGCTAGGAGGGAAGGCTCAAGGCTTTGGGAAATAGCATCCTTTCCCTGGATTTCTTGGCCTCTATGGGCAGTAACTTCGTATTTTTTTAACTTCCAATTCTGTGTAGCAAAAGGGCCTGAATCCCCTATCTGACTTTCATACCTACCAACCATTTCAGAATTTAACACTGAGGTTAACCATCTATATAACAAAGATGTCAAATGAGTAGATTAAGCCAGGATTGCCAACGAAGCATCTCTTTAGTGAGGGCTTGAGATAACAGCAATTCTTCAGGATTTTAGGAAGAATCAGATGCTCAGGAATGAGCTCCACAAGTACTTCTGCAAATATTTGCTCCAATATGCTACATAATCAACAATCAAGCTATTCATTTATGGGATTTAGAAAATCAACACATTCTGCCCTAGATGAGAGTCCATCAGTAAATCCTGGAAAGGAGGCTGAAGATGCTGTGAGAGTAACGTCACAGAGTGTGGTACAGGTACACTCTAAGGTGAAGGTCAGCCTTGGGCACAGATGAGGACAGCCAGACAGATCCTACTGCTGCACCAGGAGCAGGGCCCCAATTGAGCATGGCTGTGCGTCCCCTGTAGCAACGTGCCCTGGGGAAGCAGAGCAGCAGGAATGAGACACTACTGCTCTCCCCAGCATGGTTGTGTTTGGCATCCAGGAGAGCTGAACACATGTTCTTAGGGTAGTGTTCACCTTGGTCCAAAGGGTGCTGGGCACTAGGTGGGACCCCAGTAGCTGACTTTTAAGAGATAACACAGGAAGAAAAGGATTCTTATGTGGCCTCTTTGCCTTCCCTGAGTGAAGTTATTCTCCCTCTCCAAGTTTTTGGTTCCATGTCCTCATTGTCTTTCCTTTTTGTATTCAGCCTTATATAACCTAAATTCCTTTTTTCTCCTTTGACTCAAGAGGACATTAGCATTCATGAACAATATTACCTACCACAAATGTCACATCTTCTGTAAAGCCTTCCCAATTTTTCTGAGCTGCTTTGGCACTTTGGATACAGATTTTGACACTTAATTATAATTGTCTGTTGACATATGTGTGTCCCCCACTGGTCTGCTTGAGGGGAGGGCCTGTTTTAAATCATCTTCTTTACTACGCAGGCCCTGGTGCATTCCAGGAGGCAGATGATAAATGTGTCATGGATAAGAGAGTGAGTGGACAAGAGAATGAGTAAATAGCATATACCTTAAATGCTATGAGCATTGAGACTAATTTCTACGGGGCTTGTGAAATAAATTTATAACCTGGTTCTTGCAGTCTCAGAGAAAATATGCAGTGTCAACCTGGGCCTCACTTTGGGCAGGAAAACAAAAACAAAGTAAAATAAACAAGCAGAAAACCCCTTGGATGCTTGTAGAAATCTGTGTTTAGAAAACAGAAGAAGATGAAAAGAAGGAATAATTTAATAGAAACTAGGGCTAGTTTAGGGAGGTATGATTAGTTGTTTCTCACCAGAGGATTTCTCTATAACTTGTTGATTTTTCAGTTCATTTTATTATAGTTATTGAACTGAAGCCAGAAGTATAAATTCATTTACATAAACACAATTTTTATTAAAAATTCATTACTTATTAAAGGTTTATGGGCTAGCAGTCACTCATGCCTTAATATGGATTAATTTACCTATTTACTATCCTTTTAATGTGTAGTTGAGATCAGATAGATTTTGCTTAGGAAAAAAATTAGAAATGTCAAGGTTAAAGAATCTCAAAGGTTGAAAAAGGCCTGGGTGAACTCCATAACTGAAAATTAGGGCAGAGGTAAATATTTGTTTCATCTCAGGCATTAGGGCAGTAAAAATAGGATGAACACACTTTATATATTAGAATCCCTTGGGTACCCTGAGCTGAGAGAGCAGGGAGGAAATTCCCCTCTTTCCTCTTTTTCCTCTTGATGTTACTTTGGGGGCATACAACTCACATTGGTTCCATTAATCCTATGTTTGGAGTGAGTTGAATTGTATTGACTAGTCTGAAACAATAACTGGCATTCATTAAAAAATTTTTTTAAATATATATATTTTTATTTCAAAATATTATGGAGGTACACATGTTTAGGTTACATATATTGCCTTCATTCCACCTGAGTCAGAGCTACAAGCATGTCCATCCCCCGGATGGTATGCACTGCACCCATTAGGTGTGAATATATCTATCCCCTCCTCTCCTCTCCTACCTCCCCAACACCTGATGAATGTTACTGCTCTATGTGCACTTAAGTGTTGATCCATTAATACAAATTTGATGGTGAGTACGTGTGGTGCTTGTTTTTCCATTCTTGTGATACTTCACTTAGTAGAATGGCTCCACAATTTAGGATAATACAGAGGTGCTACATCACCATTGTTTTTTTTTTATGGCTGAGTAATACTCCATGATATACATATTCCTCATTTTATTAATCCACTCATGTATTGATGGGCACTTGGGTTGTTTCCACATCTTTGCAATTGTGAATTTTGCTGCTATAAACACTCGAGTGCAGATGCCTTTTTTATAGAATGTCTTTTTCCCTTTGGGTAGATGCCCAGTAATGGGATTGCTGGATCAGATGTTAGTTCTACTTTTAGCTCTTTCAGGCATTCACAGTAGAATTTCTATGGGAAAATGTTTGCATTTGTATGGACCAATTTGCAAACTTAATTTTGGACTCCAACTTCACAAGCTGAGGTCAGCCTTTTCTTCAGTTACAACTGATCCATACTGACTAACATTTGATATTTAAAAGGTTGCTCTGAACAGCTAGAGGAGAATCCCTGGAATGTTCATGAGGTATTTATTATCTTAATGAATATATTACTTGAAAGACTCTTGACATAGCATTGAATATACTAATTAGAAAAACATTTTACATAAATGTTTGTATAATGACAAAGACACCCTACCTAGGAAGGGAAACAAATTTTTTCATACTTGAGGTTGGAGGAAAAAGAGAGAGGAATTTTAAGTGATGGAAACAGCAGAAGCAAGCACAGGGAAGCAGAAATACAAATAGTATATTCAGTGGGCGTTTATCCATTCATCACACACTTACCGAACACCTAGTATGTGTGGGTGTCAAGAATGCAAAGTGAATAGTCACAGTATTTCTCCTGTTTTGCACTGTTTGAGTCTAGCCGGGGGACAGGTTATTTCCAGTGTGTTGAATGCCATACTATAGGCATGTGAAATGTTCTACGTTTATCACTGACTCAGTTTGGTGGGGAGTTCAGGGTAGCAGAAAGGCAGAGGGATTGGAAGATGGCACTTGGAGGATGTAGGGGGAAACAGAATGGTTTGAACTTAAAAGTGACCAGCTGGCCAGCCAAGGGAGAGACTGTGCCACCACTTGAACTTTTCCCTCCTTGCCAGTGCCTACAGCATCATCTATGGGAAATAGCTTTTGTAAATTTACAGATATTGCACAACCCTCTTGGGGATGTGGGATCTAAATGTGCACTAGGTATTTCTGGATGTGAGAGTGACATAGGCCATTCTCCAGTCTGCACTGCTGCTACTGATATGTCTTCCCAGAGACTTCATTTTCAGGAAAGAGGGAAAGTTGGAAGTCTTGTAAAGGGCACCTATCTTGTACCGATGATAAAAGAGAGGGAAACAGTGGGGCTCTTTTCTCTTTGAAGCTGAAAGGATGCAGTTTTTGTGAGAAGCTGAAGGACAGAGAGATATGATCTATTAGGAAAACCAAACTTGTGAGTCCCAGAAAGCAGCCATGTTCCAGCTCCATTCTACTTTTTTTCCCAGCAGGGTTAGAATGCTAATAAAAACACAAGAGGATCCACCTCTTCCTATTTTTCCTATTTCTGGGTCTTGCTATAGCATTTACCTAGGTTCTGTGGCTTACATGAATTCCATTGCACCATATCCCCTTAGGGAAAATATGAGTTTGTAGTTAAGAGATCTGAAATGGAATCTTTCTTTGCCATGTACAAATATATGTGGCTTTGGATATTACCCCATTTCTCTGAACACAAACCTCAGTTTTTTTGATCTGTAAGAAATAGGTGATTTTAATCGTACGTGACTGTTGTAGAAATAAAATGACATAACGTGAAAGCACTGGGAACATCTTTCAAATAATGTTTAATCTACTATTCAAATCTATTGTTTGAATCTTTACTATTATTTTTTGAATCTAAGGCAAGCATTGACTCAGAACAGTGCCTGGGTCAAGAAAGCATGAGAGATGTAGGAAAAAAAGTTTACCACTGGTAAATTCCTTCTGCTGTTGTTAAAAGTCTAAAAATTCCAAAATGTTGTTCTTTTGAAGTATGAGTAAAAAATAATCTTAAGCAGCTGAATAAATTTGCCATGGTCAGGTGGGAACCTTCAATCTGCTGGGAACACAGGGGTTGGCTCATTGTGGTCAAACAACATTTGTTTAATGATTGCTTTTGTAAGAGTT